GCGACCTTGTGCAAGTTACTTAACTTCTCTGAACCTCAATGGTTATCATAACATATCTATCTGCCATATACAAAGTACTTAATAAAGGTGAGTCACTACTATTCCAGGCCTGGAGGCAAGTTACAGTCATTCTAATCCCTCCATTCATCACCAGCAACATAACTTAGATCCCAAATGCTCATCTAGTATTTGGTAAATTACCCTTAAGGTTGGCTATGAACTGTCATCTGCTATAGAGTATTTCTTACAAATAGGATAAAAATCTTCAAATATTCATGTGCTTAGCAATGGGAATTTCTGATAAAATGATGGCCTTTAATATGAGAAAAATGATTTCCACCTCTCAGGGTTTGAATGTAGTGTGAGCATTCTATGAGATCTATATTAGCAGTTAAGTATTTCACTTTCATAATGGCATAAAATATTCGCAAATGACTTACCATGTGCCTCATCTGTATTTATGATAGAAAAATGTACTTATTACAGTATCTGTTTTTCTAACTGAGATGTTAAAGAGCTGAAAAACATGGACAAAGTCAAGAATATATATTTATAACCTTTATTTTAGGATTTTGTTTCCTCTCTGAAATATGGGTCCATTAAAAATACCTAACTGTGTTTTAAAATTTTCTATGACTCATTATATAACCTTTGAAATGCATCTTAGTATTACTTATATAATTGACTATTAACTTGGCTAATTATTAAGTTATTAAAATCTTTAAGTTATTATGTAAATTAATTTTAAGTGACTTGCAAAATTGCTGAACTATTTCCTCTGTCTTCCAAATTGAATTATGAATTAAACTGTATTTTATTGAGTTGGCTACATTTGGTTTATTTAGTTAATTAATCGATTAATTAAATCATGATGGAAACAATTCCAACACACTTATCAGGAAGCATGAATAAAATATTTCTAAGTTTCTTCTTTAATAAAGAAAAATGACTCTTTCTTGAAAATCTTGTCCTTACATTCCTCTCAAGATATTTAGGGACCAAGAAGATCTTCTTTACACATAACCTTCAACAGGATTGTGAGTAACATGCAAAAATTTATACAATTAGTATTACAATTTATGGATTTGTTATTTATTGGTGCAACTCGAATTCTTGGCAGTATTTGTTGTTGTTCATGATGATTTTTTTTTAAGTTTGACAATGTTAAATTTAACAATGGGAAGCAACAAGACAAAGTAATGCCATAATTGTCACCTACTAATTTATAGAACAATTTTTTTTTCTTAGTAAAATCTGATTTCAAAAGAAATAGTACGTATTTGTCCTGAAAGTCTATGGCAACGTTATTTAAGGAGCATATCTGGCCATAAATATGTGTGAATTAACAAGTTTGTTTTTTTTGTTCTTCTCTTAACACTCTAGACACAGGAGTTTATTTTTTGGAAGTCATGACGCTAATTTAAAGGACTTTTAATGTGGTATTTATAAATATCAATATTGTTTTATTTGCATTGGAAATTCAGCTAACTTTGCATGTGTTTTCTAAAATATACATTAAAAAATGTATTGGTAAGTTTCTTTAAATGACTACAGATGATCCACACCTGTTTTGAATTTTCTAAAACAAATTCCAAAAACAAAACAATAAAACAGTCTTTAGAAAATATTTTGTCTTCTGGGTACAGAAAAAAAAAAAAGATGCAATTTCAAAGGGAATAATAAGTTAGATAATATATGAGCTAGAAAATCCCTTTATCTTTAAAGTAAACTTTATTGAAGATTTTATGGAATTAGGTTACAATTTCATTTACCATAGTATAACAACTTTGTTAATTATGAGAAGGTAAATTTTTTAAGCCAATTTATTTATGAGGTGAGAATAAAAATTCCATTTGTTCATTCATTTATTCATTCAATATGCACTTTTTTTTGGAGCACCCACTAAATGGCAGACACTGTGTTAGGCACTGAGGTAAGGAGATGAATTACCTCATCCTTGAAGTGTCCATGTCTAGTGGGGGAGACAGACAAAAATAATGATAGAATGGTGAAGAAAATTTTAGGTCATTAGGAATGGGCATTTTTGTGAAGCAAAGGAGTTGAGAACTAAGCGGAATCTTGAAGTATAATCAGGTATATGTAGTCAAAGAAATGAAACCTAGTGTATTTAAAGGACTGAGAATAGTTTTCCTTCTTTTCTGTTCTCTTTTTTCCTCCAAAGTACCTTGTAATGCTCATTAACCTGAATAGTGAATTTTAGCACCTGCTGAATTGTGTCCAATCTAATTTTCTAAATTCTGCCTCTTAAAGTTTAATGGCTTTTAACCCAGTCAGCCAAGATGACCAAGTGGGATGAAAAAGTTTTTATTTGGTTACAGCATATTATCAACAATTAGTATAAAACACAATTCTTGTGAATCTTACATATCATGTTGACTTTTCAGCATATCTGGGTTCAAAATCTCTGGCCTTCTTTAGTGCAAATGTTATAGGAAATAATGCCAAAAGCAGTTCATGTAAAAGTAACACTTTAACATAAATATTAAAACATATACATGATTGACGTAAAATCAGCCTGCAAATACATCAAATGTCTCCTCATCTCATTAAAAATTTAGATATTTGTTCTTTTGGGGAAAAGCTTTCCTCCAAAATATAATGACAACACATTTAAAAATCTGATTCATATTGTATTTTGATAGCTAAAAATAAAATGATCTTAATAAAATATTTGTATTAATAATATCACTTAAGAATTAAAAGTTCAAATATACGGTATTTTTGTTTAGTTGATTCAGCACCTTCAGCATTATAGGAAAATAATAATGTGCTAAAACAAACAAGGCACACTATATTCACTCAAAAAACTCACCCTACTAAGAAATAATAAAAGCAGTCCCTGATGTCTAGGAACGAGTCTGACACTCACAGCAAGCCCTCAGCGTTCTTAGAAGCTGACCTGGCCTCAAGCTAGGCCATGTTGTTCTCCTTTTGGACATAAACAAATCTCACAGTACACCAACAGGAGACAAACTCACTCTGAAACCATGATAAAATGAGACAAAAACAAGACCATTTCATAATTTTGTCTAAATGCCAACAAAAACGAGGTCATTGTGCAAACCACAAAATACCAAGCATCTCTCTCTCCTGACTGACTTGAGTGACTGTTATTTCTTTGCCAATTACAGCTTTATCATCGCTCTAATCTGTCCTTCTTATAGATAGGATTTTTTGATTTACCCAATCACAGATTTGCTCCTGCTTTCTGGCAGCATCAAATCTAGAACAAATCCCCACTTCCTTAAGCCCTCCTCTAAGTTACCCAACCAAGGCTCAAATACTAAGGCTATTTCTAAAACTTTCTTATAGAGACTCCCCATGTTTCCCTGTTATGTGTTCTTTCACACTGCAATGTGTAACATACCCAATTTGTTCAAGTATAGGTGTATTCCTGGTGGTCTTGGCCTGGAGGAAATTGACACTTCTTAAAACCCTGCCCTAGATTCCATTGTAGGATAACATGACCTCATTACTAGTTACTGAGATAATGTGTCTAAGTACAGGATTTTGCAGCAACTCTTTTATTTAAGAGTGTGAACTCTGGATTCTTATTCCCTAGGGTCAAGTTGGAGCTTTGCCACTCAACAGCTATGTGATTCCTAGCAAATTCTTAATCTCTGAAGCCTCTCTCTGTTGGTATGTTTACACAGTTGGGATAATAACAGTATTTCTCTTGTCAGCTTGTTTAGGATTGACAATTTCTGGAAAGTTGTAAATAATTAATAAATGGTAGCCATCATTATTTGAAATGATCGTTACTAAAAAAGAAGAAAATTTTTTACCTAAAATTCAAATATTGCTGTAATGGGAGTAATGTGAAAACTGATTTACAGCATTTTTGTAAATATATTATCATGAAGATAAAACTCATTGTAGTTCAATATTATATACGATAATCTTAGAGACACTAAATAGAATTAGACAATCTATATCAAATTGGGCCCCGAATCTATACATTCTGTAAATTTAAGTGTTTTTCACATGGATTTTCTCTCTGGATTTCCATATAACATTTTAATTTGAGGTCTGGTAACTTATTTTCAAAGGGGCCCCAATGAGACATGCCTCATGGTATTTAGGCCCTTGGGTGGTCCCTTCCCCTTGAATTTAAGCTGACATTGTGACTTATTTTTTGAACAGAAGAATATGACAGAAGTGATACCATATGACTTCTGAAATCTAGGTCTTAAGAAATTTTGTCGTTTATTGTCTGAGTATCATGGGACACTGCCCTTCGGACATTCCATCTTGAAAAACAAGCTACCAGGCATCAGAAACCCAAGTCACATGGAGAGGTGGGTGGGTCTAAGTGTTTACAATTCCAGCTGAGCTCCCAGCCAACCTTCTTCAACTGCTAGCCTTACAAGTGAGCCATCATGATTATCTAGTCAAGTTTAGCCTACAGAAGATTCTATCTCTAGCCAAAACCTCGCTTTGATTGTGTGAGAGAGTTTAGCTGAGAGTTTATGCTGCTGGGCTTAGTCAAGCTACAGAGTCATTAGCTTAGTAAAATGTAATTTCAAGCCACTAAGTTTTGAGGTGTTTAGTTACATAGCAATAAATAACTGGAAATGAGGCATGGTTTTAACAGTTTGTGCTCATTTGAATTTTTGAATAGAATGACATAAAGGAAAATTTTTGCTAGCTAACGTATTTTCAATGTGGACACTAATTTAATAATAATAACAAAAAAATCAAACACCTTTGAACATACTCCATAAGTATTTCCTCCATGGTCAGTGTTCAAAGACTTTCATTCTTATTTCTCTTCTACTCTGATATTTTAGGTTTTGGTATTTATTTTTTCCATATGGCAGAAAAGGAGCATATTAGCTGTTGGGGAATAGGGAAAAAAAAACCATGACTTATGCAATGCAAGAAGCGGCTTATCGTTCTTGATAGCTCTACAAGAAACAGATGTCACCACAGTGACTTTCTGCCAGGGAGAGAGAGAGGTGAAAGGAATTCTGGGAAATTACAAGCTTGCTGTATTGACAGAAGTGTGCTAATGAGTCAAGTGATAAGCCACATGTTCATTGCTAATAAATGGAACAAATTTTTACTCTTGTGGAATGATAGCTTTGATTGAAATGCTTCACATCTCCTGGCCTCAGTCAACTTCATGTGTGCCTTCTAGATGCTGTGAGGAAAAAAATACATTGTTTTTAAACACAATTGGACTTTCTCTGAAAATTGCCTCTTAAACTGCTGGTCTGGTTCACTACCATATTATATAAAATTCAAATTGGCGTTAGAGATTTCTTAATTTTACATAGATGGAAATCTGAATAAAAGCAATACAATACTAAAAAGTCTGTAAAACCTTAGAATTAGGCAAACATGAATCAGTAAAACAAGGAGATATTTAATTATAGAAATATCTTGGAGAGATTACAAAAATATTTTCAATAATCACCACTAAAGTAACAGACTCTCTGATGCTTCTTTTTCTCCCTCTCTCTCTCAATCTCTCCCTCAAAAGAAAGTTTGGAAATGTGATGATAAGTAGATAACTTTTTTTTTGCCCACTTAAAGTTGTAACTTTTAAATGTAAATTATTCTCATCGTTTTATTTCCTGTATTTTGGTTATATTTATCAAAACCGACAACCTCCCTCAGTCACAAAACTTTTTCCAATAAGTAGCATTTTGCGTATGATTCCATCGTTGCTACTATTTCTCCAGAATATTCCTCTCTCTTGGTAAATCATGTTGCTTTAATCTAGTTTGGTTTCGCCAGACCATATATTTATTTTATTTTTTGGCTTACTTCTTGGTTTTTCTACATCTGTGAAACACTTTCCTGTTTACAAGCCCCGAGTATAATTAAAGGAACCATGGGTACTCGCAAGGAATGCAGAAATTCTGGCTTTAGTTTCCAGTCATAGGTTCACTTCACAGTCACACTTGTTATTTGCCATGTTTCTGGAATGTTATATGAGAGTGATATGTTCTTTTAAAGTGATCGTGGGTTGAGAAATCTTATCCATGTGAAAAGCAAGGTAAGGAAAATAATGATGAATTTCCTGCATTTCATAAGAGTCACCCTTGTGCTCTTTCAAATGAATGGCAGTAACTGATTATAAGATCTGACAGCAACTACCCCTCTTTCTTAATTCTTTTCTCAGTTTCTGTAGTATCACGCAGGCAAGCTTGCTCACCTAGTCCCTGATTCCAGGCCATGGGCCATAAGGCCTGATATATATATAACACTGTGTTTTCTAGTCTGCCCTGAATTGCTATTTCCTGTGGTGAGAAAAATCCAAATCCACACACCACTGGCAATTTGGCCAAATTTATTGAGGCCTGATCTTTCTGAGTGTTTCAGGCTACACATGGCCTTAATAATGAAACAATTCCTGGCTTGATCCCTGACTTCAAAGATTATAGATTCAGCCTCGCTAGGGTACATCCCATTTTCAACCCTCTTCCCCTTGATTTATGTCCCCAGTGCCCCCTCTGTCTTTCAAAGCATGTGTTTATACTGTTTTGCATTTAGGAATTATCAAATTTTATAATTTGCAATGACACACTGCTGCTCGAATTATCTTTATAAAGCACAGACCTTATTTTTTTCTGATTATCGTACTACTGATTATACTCAAAGTGGTTCTACCTGTAAACCTCTCACCTGGGCTATTACAACCTGATATATTATAGCTATGGTAGATGTTTTCTTTATTGTGCCAACCAGGGCACAGATAAGAGTAAAGCAGGTGCTGTCAATTATTACAGCAGGGCAATGGATGGAAACTGAGAATTAAGGTCATGCTAGCAATAGGCCACTCTTCCCATAACCTGGTACATCCTCAGTATTCCACAACCAGGCATTTCAGTTTCCCTAGTAGCTGTTCTTTCTCTCAAAGCGACAGTTATGATGCCTAATATCAATGTAGTAACTCATTTCACCCTCCCAACAACTCTGAGAAACAAGTGCTCTGATGATTCCAATGGTGCCTACGAGGGAGCTGAGGCATGAAGCAGCTGGGGAACTCTGCTAGATAGTGATAGCGTCTGGATTCAAACAGGCACAAGGCTGGCTCCAGAGCCCTTCCCTGTAAACACTACTCCATTCTGTTTTCTTACAATGTATTTTCATTCATTTAGTCCCTAAATTGCCCTTAGGAAGAATAGCACAGTGTGTGGGAGAGAAAGCCTTTAAATCAGTCTCTCTAGGTTCTAGTTTGGGCTTTGCCACCTAGTTGGGCTTGGGAAATTTACTTAATTTTTCTGTGACTCCGTTTAGTTACTTGTAAAAAAAAAAAAAAAAAAAGATCATTATAACAACCATTTCAAGGGTTAATGTGATGACTGAATAAATTAATAATTCATGTAGAGATTCTAGCATATAGTAAGTTCATGATGAATAGCTCTCATTAAGAGCTACCTCTGCCTCAAAAAACTTTCCTATTGTTACAGCGCTTTGCTTTATGATGGTAGATGTTGGAGAATTGCTCACCTGAATTCTGATGCAGCCCAGATTTAATACGAGCATTTTTTGAGGTTGGGGTTGTATTTCTTCTTTTTTTTTTTTAAGATTTTATTTATTAATTTGACAGAGAGAGAGCACAAGCAGGGAGAGGGAAGCAGAAGGGGAAGGAGAAGCTCCTGAGCAAGGAGCCCAATGCAGGGCTTGATCCCAGGACCCTGGGATCATGACCTCAGCTGAAGGCAGATGCCCAACCAACTGAGCCACCCAGGGGGACCTGACTGTCAGTATTTTTTTTTTAATCGGTATTTTTTTTTAATTCTCCAGGTGATTTTTTTTTTTTTAATTTATTTGACAGACAGAGATCACAAGTAGGCAGAGAGGCAGGCACAGAGAGAGGAGGAAGTAGGCTCCCTGCTGAGAAGAGAGCCCGATGCGGGACTCAATCCCAGGACCCTGCGATCACAACCTAAGCCGAAGGCAGAGGCTTTAACCCACTGAGCCACCCTGGCGCCCCAATTCTCCACGTGATTTAAATGTGCAGCCTGTTTTGAGAAAAGTGCATTAAAACCTTTTTTTTTTTTTTAAGATTTTATTTATTTATTTGACAGAGACAGAGATCACAAGTAGGCAGAGAGTCAGGCAGAGAGAGAGGAAGGAAAGCAGGCTCCCTGCTGAGCAGAGAGCCCGATGTGGGGCTTGATCCCAGGACCCTGAGACCATGACCTGAGCTGAAGGCAGAGGCTTTAACCCACTGAGCCACCCAGGCGCCCAAAACCTTTCTAATATGAGAAATTCAGACATGTGTTTGTCTCTTTCCAAAAATTTCAAGCTCCTTGATTACAAATGCTCTATTGAATTCATCCTTGTACTTCTAGTGGCAGCTAGCATGGTGCCTTATATATAGTTGGCACAAACAATTTATTAATTCCTTTGAACTGAGAAGACACTTCCCAAATATGTTCACATTTACAGGAAAAAAGGGACATTTTTTTGTCATCATTAATGAACTTAACGAATATCTTAGAGATTGGGAGGATATGGATAAAAAGGATTGGATGAGAAAGTAGAGGGAACAGAGTGATGAGATAAAATGCCTAGTTGTTAATTTTAAAATAATAGATTCATAGATTAACAGTACAGAACGTGACCATACTTTACAATCATCTGGGAAGATTTAAAAAAACAATCATAGGTCCTTTGTTCCCCAGGAGATTCCAATGTGCAAGCAAAGTTGAGAATTACTAACTGACATGGATCATGTTATACCCAAGTTCTTCCTCCCTCTACCACAACACCTGAGAGTACACTTATGCAGTTTTGCATTAAGTACCAGGAATGCAAAGTATAGGCAATAGCTTCACATGTCAAAGTTTCTGGGTATACAGAAGATGCAGGATATCAGGATAGGGAAATATGTATACATACATGTGCAGACATACACCCATGCACTTAAATATTCTAAGTTACCCTTCAAAATTATGTAGTGAGAAAGGGAATAAAGTATCAGTCTATAACAATGAGTTCTCAGACACTGTCACTCATGAGATCAATCTTTTTCGGTGAAGAGGTCAAGGAGATAGCTTTGCCAACATGGTCAGCAAATACGCAGTCATGTTTAAGGCAAATATTGAGTCTAAGTCACTACATAGTGGTGTGGACTGAATTCATGAATGATTATAACTTGTCAACTTCCTTTAGAATTACCAAATTGAGGGGCGCCTGGGTCGCTCAGTGGGCTAAGGCTCTGCCTTTGGCTCAGGTCATGATCTCAGGGTCCCGGGATCGAGCCCTGCATCCGGCTCCCTGCTCAACAGGGAGCCTACTTCCCCCTCTCTCTCTGCCTGCCTCTCCGCCTACTTGTGATCTCTCTCTGTCAAATAAATAAATAAAATAATTAAAAAAAGAATTACCAAATCAAGTGTTGCTAAGGACTAGTTATCATTTTTACCGTGTTTCTTTCAATCACAATTAATCATCTTGTGGAAAGATTTGACATTTTATTGGTCTTGTTCAATGATCTTTAGTATTTTAACAAATAATGACCAAAGTTTAAAGATACAATACAAGCGCATAATGAAAATTTGAATGCTTATCCTATAATGTACAAATTGTTTGCATACTACATATGATTTCAAACAAACCAGCAGTCATACTGTATTATTTATGTTTCTTTAAATTTTTATAAACCTTTACAACCTGACATATTATTTATCCAAATATCTTTCCACTTAAATGATTCTTAAAGGTATTTTATTTCCCCTTTCTCCAAAGAGAAAGAAAAAGGGGATAAACGTAATGGTTCCTCAACACACTGTAGTATTTTTTAATTATAATTTTTTCATTCATTTTCTAAAATACGCAAAAAATAGATTCCCCAAAAAATGTTAGCCTTAAAATAACATCTTTTGGTAGAGACCAACTGTACTCTGTATAAGAAGATGATGTTATTGATCCATCTATAGGATAATATAATAACAACTGTGATGTGTTGAGGGCTCATTATCTGCCAGATACTCTTTTAGTGCTTCACTTGAATCAATGCAGTGAATCTTCAAAACAATCCTTTGAAAAAGATACTAGATTAATGTCCATTTTATAGGTGAGGAAACTGAGGGTAGTATACAGTTAAAAAGGATTGGATGAGAAAGTAGAGGGAACACAGTGATAAGATAAAATGTCTAGTCATTAATTTTAAAATAATAGATTCAT